CAATCTGTAGTCATAAATTCAGTCATGATCTACAATGAAAAATTGACAATCAGAGACACAATCTACAGTTACACATTCACAGTCAGCGACAATCTACAGTCAGAGTCACTGTCTGCAGTCAGAAATTCACAGAGAGTCAGAGTCAATCTACAATCACAAATTCACAGTTGGTCACAAACTGCAACCACAAATTCACAAAATGTTCTGATTTGACCAGGAAGTGAGAGCACACACAGGTCTCTCATTCAAACCAGAAAAAAACACAAAAAATGAATTGTATATGATTCTCTGCCCCAGTTATGCTATCACACTTATAACATCACCACTGATAGGGCACATCACTGGCACGCCCACTAGTGTTTATTCTGCAGCCATTCACTTCTCCAGGAACCGCTCATTAATAAAACCCGAGTGATGTCACTGAAAGTACGGTTTCGTGAATCTTTGCAGATCACAGGAGGCGGACGGCAGGAAGGGACGTGTTTGGGCACTCGTCCAGTGAAGGGAGAGTGAAAGATGAAAAAGCATGGATGAAAAGAGAAGGCTGCCTTCTCCCAACCCTCGCTCCTGACCCCAGATAAAAACGGCTGTGTTATTATTTACATAAATTCAGCACAGACACTCAAAATCATATTTTGCCTATGGAGGCAGTGGGAGCATTCATTAGATAAGTCTTCTGGAAGCTCTTGGTTACCGAATAAATACCGATAAAAATCAGGTAATTTCAAAGTATTTGCTTGTTCACCTTTCGTTCGCACAAGATTCCGCTGCCAAAGTTTTCTTATTTAAATAAAAATCAGCTTGTTCAAAGCTTATATGCATGATGTTGTTCATTATTTTTTATTTCACAGTCCAGTTTTAGGCATAAAGTCACCTCATTTTCCTATGTTCTTTATTTTTAATAAAAATAGCATCATTATAAATACGAAAAGCTCACAGAGGAAAGAGAAGGGGAAGATTCAATGAAACGATGCACTGAGACTCTTAACAGCAATGTAATTGCGGGGACTGGGCATAAACAGGTTTGAAATATCAACAACGAGTTTTCAAGGTTTAGTGTAGGCGAGAATATTCTGTCGCATGGGGGGATGATTGTCTGAGAGAGCTGGCAATTTTCCTCTCCAGCCGAAAGGGGTGAGTCACTGTGATACTGACCGTCCTCATTGCTGTACCTGCCCCCTGCTCATCGCTATATTCAAGAGCGGCGTGCGGTCACAGCTTACAGGGCATGGGGGCACTGGGGCGGATTGATCAGGCAAGGGGAGAGAGGAGCCCTCAACACCATTTGCTAATAAGACTGCAGATTATATCACGGCCGGTGTGTCCCAGTGTTACACAGCGTCCTGAAAGGTGAAAATACACAGTCCACAGAAAGGTCACACAACGTCCTGAAAGGTGAAAATATACAGTCCACAGAAAGGTCACACAGCGTCCTGAA